AAAGTTTATAGTAAATGTTCAAAAACGTTTTCATCAACTTCCATACAAACGATCTTCCATTGCCGCCCTCACATGGTTGAGAATTTCGGGAGTTATTTCTCTGCAATGCCTCATGATATTCTCTCTCAAATCTTCTAATGTTGTTGATTCTATCTCATACACTTTAGACTTCAAATGCCTTTATAGAAAGAAATCTACAGGAGTGAGATCCAAAGACCTTGGTCGCCATTCTGCAGGACCTCTTCTGCCAATCCAGCGACCAGGAAAATGATCATCCAGAAATTGTCGCACTGGAGCTGTATGATGAGAAGGTGCACCATCCTGCTGAAAAGCTATTTCGTTTTCAAATAAATTTATATCCTCCTCAATTGCCCTATTGATGCACGGTATGAGTCGATTCTCCAATATATCCAAATATTCATTACTGGGCAATTTATCAGCGATAAAAAAATGTCTTATTATGTGCTCACCTAAAATTCTTGCCCAAACATTGACTTTTTGAGGTCGTTGTGTATGAACTTCACGGTATAAATGAGCATTTGTATCACTCCAATATCAAACATTTTGCTGATTCACCTCTCCATTCAAACTAAACGTACATTCATCTGAAAAACAAATTTTATACAAGAAATTCTGATGCAAGTTGATCCATTCAGTGAGACTTTCACGAAACTCGATACGTCTATCGAAATTATCTTCGTTCAATTCATGAACTAGTCTAATCTTATATGGATGAATTTTGTACTTATGAAGGGTCCTGAAAACATTTTTACGACTGATTCCTGATTCTCGAGATAAGTTAGTGAGATATTGTGAATTTTCCATCAGTCCAATGTGCCCTAAAACTGCAGTACAAATAGCTTAATCATTAACAACTCCTGAACGGTTATGTTTATGAAGTTTCATAAATTTGTTCAATAATTCCGAAACGTATTTGTGTCGTACATTTCTTCCTGGATGATTATCATTGAACATAAGAGCAGCAGCTCTAGCACTATTTCCATTGTAGTAGTACAAACTCACTATTTCAATCCGTTCTCGATGCGTATACACCATTACTTTTCAAGAATTCACAGAAACAGAAACACCAATTGTAACATTACCTGGTAGGAAATCGTTATTGTAGAACGAGACAAATTACAAAATGAAGAGAATATCGAATTCAAACTTAACTAGGCAAAATAAGACTTTATGAAGTATACTTCACAAAAACACCTATGAAACCTAGATAACAGATTGTACAGAAGTCCATTCAGGGTGGCTCATTTTTTAATCAAATAGTATTTAGACCATAATGTATTCTACTATGTTGAAAACTGTTCATCATGGAACATCTGATAATGCAAAACCATTGATCCAATAAAAAAATTGTGACATGCTCTGGGGGTGCGATAGGCAAAGTTAGGTCAAATGTGAATATGTCAAAATGTGTTCTTCTTTATACTATTGTTGAGGTGCTTTTTAATTTTTCCTGAAAATCAATGTTCCAAAAGTTATTCAGATTGGCTCGTTTTCAAGCCAAATAATTTGTACCGCACGAACCATAAGCTTCAGGCCATATGTTTTATATTTTGTTCAAATCTGCTCATCATGGAGCATCTGATAATGCTGCAACGGGTTCAATTTGCCGTAAGTATTTTCTCCTTGAAACTTTGAGTAAATAATACCGTATTCTAATATCACGCAAAAATTATTAATTCGACCATATCATTTCACCCGGTAAGTATTCGAAGTAATCAATTTTTAGTAAAGAAAATCTTATTTTCCAGCTAACTTATAGGTACCTGAGGATATATGATACCCTGATTTGTTAAATTCATTTCCTAATTTATATTGAACATGGTTTCGAATGTTTTCTTTTGGACTAATTTACCTGGACTATGGTAATTAGTTGAAATAATAAATTTTCGATTTTCTATCTCGGATTGGCCAACGGGCTAGGCCAACGGACAAGGGTCAAAGGGGCATGCGTGTTTATCACTGAACTTTTTCAAAATAGGCGAGAATGCAATTCCTTCTCCCGGTCGGGGTCAAAATTCCTTGTTCTCGAAGATCGTAGCTGGCAGCCATTGAAGAAAATTTTGAAGGGCTCGTGGAATAACAAGTTTGTGATAACAACTCCGTTGGAGGATTATATTCCTGATCCCGATATTAGTGGAAATTATTCCCTATATTGAACTTATGATATTGTTGATTGTGGCATTCCACTCTCTTATTGAGGATTAGAAAATATTCATGATTCTGAATTCATTCTTGAAATTCCATCGAATTTTTGCCGGAACGATCCCAAATTGAAAAAAAGGTACCTACTTGTTCAGAGTGTTTTTTTGAGAGATCGAAGGAAAGCAAAAACTGAAAATTTGTGTCAAACCTACGATTCCTGTCGCCAACCGTGTTGCAGAGGAAAAAAAAACCTTCTAACTCAGAAGGGTTTTTTTGTACGGAACTTCAAGCCAGAGTTTTCAAAGTTTTGGTAATCGAAGATCAATCCAGATACGGGGTGATCGAATAGTTAGTCTCACCTTCATACAGAACGGTTCATGGTCATCAGCACGAAAGGAAGAAGCTACTCGGGGACTTCAATATTATCATTAGTCCACTTACAATTCACGAACATTTTGCTCACCTACAACCACCGTGGGAATTCACGCAAGTTATTGCTTCTTTCTGTTGATTTATTTTAGTGCTTTCGTTTTTTTTACTGTAAGGCGGAAATTTAATGTTTTTTTTTATAAATTTTTGAATTGCGCATACGCTTGAGCTCTCGCGAAGCATTATAACTTTTTGGCGACATTTGAATTTCTGCATCAAATTGGGGTCGATGTGTTATTTTGAATAGGTTGTGATACCTGCCCTTAGTTTTTGCTGAATTCATATTCATTTACCGATCGTTTCTAACCGTGGTACCTACTGTCTGGTGCTTAAATGTATATATTATGTTCTTGTCTATTTGTAGAATAATCTTTTACAATCCCGGAAAATAATTATTGATCTACGCTATCCTTTGAACTATGTATATGATTTGTTTTGCCTGGTCGAAAGTATATAATCTACTTGCTTGATTGCTTAGACTCATACCTCATATAGATACAAGTGGTTTCAAGTTTGGAATTAATTTTAGTGGTATTGACACATTTAGGGTGTTTGTGAGGCAATTTACCTGGCGCCCATTTTTTTTTCATGAAATCTAAATCTTGAAATATTATCTAAGAACCCCTCCCGTCTTCACTGAGACTCGTCACAGTAAAGACGGGTTAAGTTGACAGGTGACTTGTACCCTTGTCATCGATTGGTAAGATTACAATGCGAAATAATATAGGGTGATCCATTGAAAAAGAATTGGTGACATGCTCTGGGGGTGCGATATAACTGTATACTGTATACTATGGTTGACGTGTTTTTTTAATTTTTCCTGAAAATAAATATACCAAAAGTTATTCAGGTTGGCTCCTTTCAAATTGTATGCACTGTATTTACTCTACTGAAGAATGAGAACTCACAGTTGAGGAACAAATGTAATAAAATAAAGCAACAAATACTTGAATAAAGAATCGTTGACCAAATTCTGCACTTAAGTATAATCCAAACTCTGAAACCTGCTCTACAATCAATACATTGTATTAAATTCAATTCAAAGCTTTCAAAAAACAAAAACGAGCTCATTTCATTCATTGGTTGGATTATTCTTTCTTCAACAAATTTTTCGATAATAATTTTTTCTTCATTATATCTGCCATTTTACGAAACAATACATAACATTTTTCTACTGTTCAGAAACTTGGAAGCGGCTGAAATATTTTTTCTTTTTTGTGGATATAGAAAACACAATTATTTGGTGATTTCAAAAGGTTTGACCAAGTCCAGAAAGGCCCAGATGGAATATTTACTTTCATCCAAAGCTCTGTATATACGAGTATTATTGGTAAGGTAAACTATAGCAGCTTCGGTTGATTTTCAATCTGAATCCGAACTGCTTTGGAAACAGTATTTTGTTGATTTCTAAAAGTTCTTTTAACCCATTTTCAATTTTTCCTACAATTGTTGCCAGTGCATTAATAATTGAAAATATTCGTAATGCATTGAATTGAAATGGAAAATTGAAGAGGATAGAAATCATCGAATTTATCATGAAGTTGTAACCATTGAAACTTGGTATAACAATTTCAGACTGTATGCTTACTAGTTTCAGTTCAATACCTGATGTTTCCTGGCTTTGATGATTTCTAAAAGTTCTTTTAACCCATTTTCAATTTTTCCTACAATTGTTGCCAGTGCATTAATAATTGAAAATATTCATAATGCATTGAATTGAAATGGAAAATTAAAGAGGATAGAAATCATGGAATTTATCATGAAGTTGTAACCATTGAAACTTGGTAAAACAATTTCAGACTGTATGCTTACTAGTTTCAGTTCAATACCTGATGTTTCCTGGCTTTGATGATTTATTACGTAATTTTATTATCCAAAGATGTAGTACACCATCTTCAAAATGGTGCAGCCGATGCAGTTCTTTACATGTTTTCTTTTGTAGTGTAGGAGAACAATAAAACATCATCTCCAATCATTCATCTAAGAGATAGAAACTGTAATGAATACATCGTTCGAAATATTAAAGTAGAGATTTCAATAAAGTAAAAAAATCTCAAGTTTGACATGAGAAGGTGAAAAAAGCCAAAATGAAATATATGTGTGGAGATGAAGAAAACGTTTAATGAATTCAGAAACAGGTTTTTTTTCAATCACCAGAAATGCAATTCTCCTCTCGACGGGCTTTTCTAACAACCAAGTAGACATCTTCAGGAGATGAAGGAAACTCCTGAAGACGCCTATTCATTTGGTGAAACGCGCGTCAAGAAGAGTATTGAATTTTTGGTAATTGCATGATGAGAAAAGTATTTTAGATATATTGTATGCCAGAAGAATCATTTCAAGAGAAACCCTTCGCTTCCATTTGATTTCACTTCAATGTTTGCGTTTGTGAAACAGTTGGTACTTACCATGATTCTATCAGCGTTATCACATCGTTGACCAGTTATTATTGTAGTGAAAGTTCCATTCCTCAATTTCATGGAGTGTTTCATTATGGATCCTCCAATCTTTACGTAGAGGTATTTATTGGGTGCAGGAATGATAACTCGGGGACTATTCTCGCAGTTTGCCTGTAAATTAACTGGTTCAAATGAATTTGCTTGATCCAAATTATTGAAATAAGGAATATCAGATCAGACGATTCACATATATCCGTTGTTTCACTCTATACTTAGGTAGCAAAGTGATGGAGAAGAAATAACAACGAAAATAAGTACAATTTATTTTCTTGAGAAACAAGATAACAATATGAAACAAAAGAAAGTTCAACTGATCCATTTGAATGAAAATCGATGATTTTTTTTAGAATTTTTTAATTTTATTGTTTGGGAATTTTTGAAGGAATTTGGCAAATCACTATATTCATCTTGAATCTAAATAAATGAACTTTAAACGTTTAAGCCAGTCTCGAATATACTAACACAGTAGGTTGAATGGACTGACGCCTATCAGAAAACAACTACTCCCCTGGCTAATACCACGAAGGGTCTTGGATTATATCCGACAGGCGTTAGTGCAGGAATCTTCACAGGAAATTTCCTGCATATGCAATTGGCAATACAACTGAAAGAGTCGACCCTCAATTTTGGAATGGGCACACTTGCAGACCGGTTTCGGGCTCATTAGCCAGTCAGCAGTGCAAGATAGTGGCCATCATCGACCTAAAGTCAATGATATTTCATAATTGAAAATCGGAATTCTTTCAGAATATTTCATTCCTCTTCCTAAGTTGGAGCAAACAAAAAATGTCATTCTATCTAGTGGAAGAGGTACTAATCAACTGAATTCCTAATTCCTCTGAATCAGGAAGAAAAACTTTCATATTAGTCAGTGGGCTATGCTTGAAAACTGGCAGTAAACAAATCTAAAGAAATGCTAAAAAAGGAAATATTGAGAGACATCATGAAACTGTACATTCTAATTTTGAAAAATCATTTCCACTACATTCTGCCGCCAGAAAGGAGAAACCGAAACAGTTAAAAAAGCAGTTAATTGAACAACAATCAATATTTTTAAGAACAGTCGACAAAAATAAGGCTGCAACTGAAGCATCGTACCGTGTGTCCCAGATAATTGCACAAAAAAAGAAACCTTATGAAGACGGGGAAATGATAAAACAGGCGTTTTTAGAAGCTGCTGATTCGTTATTTGCCAACTTTAGAAATAAAGACGAGATAGTTTCAGCTATAAAATTTATGCAACTTTCTGCTAATACAGTGATGAGACGTGTAGAAGTAATGAGCAATGATATTTTTTTACAGTTAAGAACTGACTTAGATAACTGTGTTTATTTTTCACTTCAACTGGATGAATCAACAGATGTCGTTGACACTGCCCAGATGGCCGTGTTCGTCAGGATGGTTTTTAGTGATTTTACGATTAAAGAAGATCTTTTGAAGTTCATTTCACTGAAAGGACACACTACTGGACATGAGTTGTTTTCTCATTTAAGAAATATTATTTCTTCCGAGAAAATTCCAATATCGAAAATGGTAGGCTTGACAACCGATGGCGCTCCAGCTATGGTGGGTTGTGATAAGGGTCTGGTGGCGTTATGTCGTAAAGATGAAACTTTTTCGCAATTTCTCTGTTACCACTGCATTATCCATCAGCAAGCATTATGTGGAAATTTCCTGAAACTAAACAACGTTATGAAACTGGTGGTAAAAATTGTGAACAAGATTAGAGCTCAAGCGTTACAAAGAAGATTATTCAGAACCTTGGCCGATGAAGTTGACTGTTAATACGGGGACCTACTCCTTCACTCTGAAGTCCGATGGTTAAGTAGAGGACGGGTGCTGAAACGTTTTAATGATGTCCTATCTGGCATAGTTCAATTTTTCAAACAACGCGATGAACCGACTCCGGAACTAGACAATTCAATCTGGCTTTAGAGATTTTGGTTTTCTCGTGGACATTACAGAGAAATTGAACGAACTTAACTTGCAGCTTCAGGGGAGAGACAAAGAACTAGCGGAAATGATTTCTGATATAAAAGCATTTATCAAAAAGCTGGAGTTTTGGGAACAAAACCTAATTAACAGCGATGCCAAGCATTTTCCTATTCTTTTAAAAAAAAATATCTCAAAATCCATTAGAAGCCTATGACAACAAATATCATGTAGAAATAATTTCTACCCTGAAGAATAACTTCAAAAATCGTTTTAAGGATTTCAATGAAATGGCTTTAGTAGCGCAGTTTGTTGTTTCACCCTTTATGGAAATTGATATCCAACAGTTTGCAACTTGTGTTATGCAGAACTTTGGCGAAGACATCGCTGCAACAGAAATGGAAGTCATTGAGTTTCAAAATGATTTAGCCTCAAAATCGTTAGTCTCAAGTACTGAATGTATCTGGCCTATTGTAAGTAAAGACAAATATTCAGTTCTATGCCGTATTGCCTTGAAAGTGAAAGCATTATTCAGTTCAACCTATTTGTGTGAATCTTCTTTTTCCAATATGAAGTTTATTAAGAACAAATATCGCAATCGACTTTCAGATGAACATTTGGATAACTGTATTCGAATGGCTGCATCAAATTATACTGCAAACATTAAAAAAATTATCGATGAGTCTGAGTGTCTGCCTTCTCATTGAACGTGCTTTTTTATTTTTCAATGTTTATGTTCATGATAGTGCGTTACTTTTTTGTTGTTATTATTAACTATTTTTAAATCATACGTGACATGCCGTTGTGGCTGGATAAAAGTTTGTGTTTATTTTTCAAACACCTTCGTTTGATAGGTAAGAATGTAGCTATGAACAGTAATATTAGTTATTTTGTTATTAGTTTATTATTAGTACCTATGTATTATGTATTACCAGTTAAATAGTAAAATAAATACATATAATAATAAATTAACTGTGGATTATTTCATTTACGTTGCGTTACGTGGCTTCCGTGTGGGTAGCTCGCTGTTTATTCCACAATTAACAAAGTAGCTCAACACATTGAAGAGGCTGGCGACCACTGATCTAGATCAACATTTCTTTTGATGAAAATGAAAACAGGTATCGACAGTAAATATGAAGAGAACACTCCACTATAAGTGTTTTATTAAAGACAGCGTGGTTGTTGGCAGTTTAACATTTATAGAACGGATAATACTTCATGGAGGAGCAAGGCAATTTGTAATTATGCTTTACCCTGAAACCAAAAACATCTTCACTCAACAAACAAAAAAAAACTGAATACTGGACCATTACTTCAAAATAATAACTAATTGACAGCTTTCGATTTCAGGCACTGCATCCTTTAGTTTCACAAAATAGGCACCGCTTCTTGTGAAAGCGATGCCTATTTCGTGGAAGTATGATGAATGAAAAAATTCAAAAAAGGGCTGTATAGTACATAGATATACTTATCCAACCCGGAATGCAAATTGATAATTTTCAAGAATTATGTAGCTGGAAAAAGCATTGAATCGGTTTTCATCTCACAGAAAACCGGAAAAAACAAACTTTCTATATTTTTGTATGACTTTATTACTGTCTGGATGGCGTAGGAATTTTATGAAAGGTGGCACCTGAGGAAGATTTCATTGTCTCCTTTGTTATTTATTTTTATTATTTTCATGATTGTTGTGAATTTTCAAGACAGAGATAATCATTCACCATTATCATCTACATTCATCATCATTACCACACTTGTGTTTCTGAGATTGAAACGACTGTGTTTGACAAAATGGTTGAGGTTTTCGGTGTCACTATTTTCCGGGTTTGAAGGCCGTGGATTTTGGATAAACCTCTGGGGAAGCTGGCCACTCGCCGATGCGAGTGGCTAGCTTCCTTATACATCCGGAGATAATATCTTCGATGACTGGATATTACGGCTGCGTAACGCGTATTCATGTTGACTCTCCAGGTAGTTTGCTATGCTATTACCTGTATCTCGCTTAGGTAAATTATGTAAAGCATGTTTATATCTAATCGGGTAGTCTGATACCTGTACTTGGAGTTGGTAAATTGTCAATAACGATCGTCGACCCTTTTCTACCTGACGTCATGATGTTCGGTATTCTTGAACTTCCTGGAATGGGATTCGATATTCGAGTAAGGTTCACAGCTTCTTCTTTTCTGTTGAAATTATCCGTGTGTTTGTGGATTTCTATTGCCTCCCGTACTAGTGGACTATGGTATCCCTGTTCGGGGGTAATGAGGTCCGTATTTTCCTTCATTGAGTGCATATTCTGCCACAACTGACTTGTCTATTTGGCTTAGCCCGCAGTTTATTTCATGCTCCTTCAGTCTTGTTCCTATGGATTTTTTGGTGGTTCTGATGTATACCTTCTCACAAGTGCACGGTATGCGATAAACCCCTGCTGCTGATATTGGATCCCTTTTGCCTTTAGCCGACCTGAGGCTTTGTTGAATCTTCTTGATGGGTTTGAAAATCGTTTTGATGTTGTGTTCCCCCAAGGGTTTTCTAAATCTGTCTGTATAGGTTTATGAGGTAGATACGCGCGTACAAGCATTTGATCCTTCTTCCCGTTTTGAGTTGTAGAACTCTTCAGTTTCATGGGTTTGTTGACTTCGGGTACACTGTATCCATTCGATCTCAAGGTCACCTAGAGGTGTTCCATTTCTTTCTTAAGATGCTCTGGTCCACATATTCTTCGACCCCGTTCCGTTAGAGTGGTGATGAGTGAAGATGGTGTTTCGATAGTGCATGCAGGTACCTATCCTAGGAATGCTATCCGCTGCTCCTGTTCAGTCTCCATGGTGAACTTGATGTTTGGGTGTTGAGAGTTCAAGTGGTATAGAAAAAGATTTAGAGCGTTCCTTCCATGTTTCCAATATAAACACACTTGATGTAATTTATCTAAGCCAGATATAGGTAATAGAAGAACCTGAAGAAGAATCAACATAAATTCGCATTACGCAGCTGTAATATCCAGTCATCGAAGATATTAACTCAGGATGTATAAACCTCTGAGGATGGTAGCCACTCGCGCCAGCGAAACGTTAGCAAGAAATTCCAAAAATCCACGGCTTCCAAAACCGGAAAATAGTAACACTGACGACAATGTTTATTGCACTACAGGAAGAAAATAACATTTCTGAAACCTT